CTATTTACCCTCATATCGGGCAGCGCAAAGTGTGGTCCAGCCATCGAAAGCCATTGTCGTGTACAATTGGCTGCCTCTTCTAAACCCACATCGTTTATTCGAACCACAATCGCACATGAAACCTGAACATAACGGTAATTAGTAACTAGAAAATATCACAACCATAAAGGTGAAAATGAAGTTGCAAAATCTCCTCTTGCGTTTTCTCCCATGCCGAAAGCTGTATTGAATGTCATACGCGGAATTTTAAAGGGCGAAAAATGCTCTTGGGGGGTTCTCAACGTTTGGCGAAGGAGAACAGGGCCAGGACGCACAGCTCGAAAGTACTTACATACGTTGACTTCCGAGACCTGCTTAGGTCAGCACTCCTAAAATCTTGACCGAACCTTTAGGAGGGGACGAAAGGAAACGACCAAGGTAGATGCTAATGCTTTTGGGAAGAGGGAAAAATTGGGAAGGTATCAAAAAATTGGTACTGCTGAAGGGGAAAAAGAACACGACAGCAGAAGCTTGCATAGAATCAGCTCTGTGACTCGACCAGTGATTTTCCACAGTTCGCACTCACTGCACCTCCCCCCCCCCCAAATGGATGGTCGAGTTCATGAGGACGGAAAACTAATTCTTGCTTTCAGATGAGCCCATTGTAGCACTTGTCCAAGGGACACGCGCACTTCTGTACGCTTCTCAATGTGGACCAAGAAAATAACGATGGAATGAGCTGGGGACTCAAATACTCAGTAAAAGAAAAAGAAAACATAAGAAAGAGCAGCCGTATGTTACCTGTAATAGACGAAAAAGTAGAGCAAGTCTAAAGGCTCTGGCGGCATTCATTCGGGATCAAGAGCTGTGTTTGTTAATGGTCGAGCCACCACACTCCACTCCTCGGTTGACCTCGAGCGTCGACGACCCCCGTTTAGAGACAATCAAATAGCAAAATTTGTCAGCTTGACGGCGATTTTCTGGACAAATATTGCTTCTCTGGGCAAATACTTAACGAATGGATGAGGCAGAGAAAGTGCACGCGTTTCGAGGAACAGTAGTATCAAAAAAATATGAACTGCTCGAATTCCATTGAGAAATTTACCGTTTGCGGTGCAGCGTGGTCGAGACATATCGGAAAGTAGGGATTTGAAAGCCAGGCACAATTAGTAATGCAAGGCGTTTTAAACTGCTGCATATTCCCGACCGATTCTCCTCTCTTATACAGGAGTCTCCGACTTGTTTCGTTTAGGCCCTCGCCGCTGTTGCAGCCACGCCTCTTGTTGCTCTTGGTTATGGACTGTAATTGTCGAATATGGCGTCTACTGCAATTACATTTTTGTGGATGGCTAGCCAACACTCTGTGATATACTAGCCAGTTTATACAGGTTGCTGCCACGGAATTAATATCCCATGAGTTAAAAGGGACGTTGTGTGGCTTCAAAGCATGCTCCGAAATGGTTCGACGATGGAGAAAAAAATTTAAGCTTTCAAAACCATTCAAATTTGAAGGATTCTATGAGTTATGCATCGTCAACTCAAATAGCCGTGTTCTTCCCAATGGAACACTGCCAGAACGCGCTGCCCGCGGGTATCGTCGATCAGATTACTTGCTGCGTACAGTGTACTGTAAGAAGCAAGCATCTCAGGGAACCTGAGCTCACACTATAATGAGGAAGCTGGTAGTTGTTCAGTGTAAATCGGAGGATGAAGGGTAAAGCCTTGAACTCCCTCAATTCTTCTTCAACAATCTGTTGTCACTAAAGGACAGTCTATTTCTGTTGTTACCAGGGCACATCGTTGTTGGGGAATCCCCAATAGGGGGTCGTATTTGGTCGCCAGGAGGGGGGTCGTATTTGGGCTGAGAAAAATTTATTTTGATAGTTGATTTTTCTCGCTTCATGGACGTTGTAAAGGGGGGGGGGGTCATTTTGGGGGGGGGGTCGTATTTACGTTTTGGCGTTGTGGGAGTGGCGGTTGACTTTTGGTGATTTTCCTGTTTCACGTATGTACTATATGCCCCCCCCCTCCCCTCCCCCCGCTCGACGGCTCGATTCGATGAGGAAGGACAGAGGGCTGGGGGGGGGGGGGTCGTACCAACTCCCAAAAAAAGGGGGGGGTCGTACAGGCTCGAACAAAATCCCCAACTAATGCTGTGCCCTGGTTGTCACTAAAGGGCGAGCTATTTTTAGGGATCATCGATTCGAGAAGTACTAACGAGAAACATGCGGCCCCACGGTTGCCATAGTACGTTCTCTATCGATGAGCAGGGAATAATCCGCTCTACTCTAAGCGATTTTACTTTTAGTCCAAGTAATTATGAATGTTCAGTCGCTATCAGAACAGAGAGACATATCACTGATGTCGGCAAGAAATCTCCGGCTGGTAATTACTAATCACCTACTAGCTCCTTCGATTTGCCATTGGGACTAATTACTATTTCGGGCTCATACAAATTTACAGCCGGTATTTCCCGTTGGCGATGTCCCGGTTAAATCGTAATGGCTACTGTTACTTCCGATTTGAAGACATGAACTGAATTTTAATGCTTTCACAACAGCAACAACAGTTATGGGCAAAAGTCAGAAAAGACCAAGGACGGGACTCGAACCCGCATGTCGTGATTAGCGGGCGGTTGTGTTATCCGTTATGTATTATAGTTGTTATGAATGTTACCACGAAAAATTCAAAGCATACAATTTTTCTCAATGAAAAAATAAAAAAATTAATGCAGACATATTGACAAATTATCGTGAATTACGAAGGGTAAGTGCAGTGCTCTCTCGCACAACGGAGAAAGAATCAAACAATTCTTTTGCATAGGGCAACAAGGTTGCAGTTAATGGAGTGTAAATGTTGACATAGAAGCGGAACTGACTAACGGGCCGCTCTAACAGTACCTCTGAATGTGGAAAGAAAAACGGGATCTGAAAAAGTAAGGCTGAAGAGGTTGTAATCAATATTGAAAAAAAAGCTCGTGACCTTGATGAGTACTCGAGAGGTTTTCTGAGAGCGGTGAACCCGATGATCAAATACAAACAAAAGGATCAGTCACACCTACGAACATGACGCCCTTTGTGACGTGGGTCATAAGGCGCTGAGCGGGAGGTGTCCAAGCAGCTTCGACCTTTGGCCAAAGAGATTCAAGCAGCGGAGCCAGTGATGAAAGCAACCAGAGGCACATTCCGCGGTTACAATTCGTGGCCTTCAAAATCCGCATTTTTTTCTATTTAATCGTTGTGCTGTTGGGTACATTGAACTTTTGAGCATGGTCCTGTTGCGGAGGTCTTGTGTGTGAAGCCGCATTGCCCATAGAATGCCATTCGACGGAGTGGGTGCAGAGAAAAATAGTAGAACGGCGCGTTCAAAGGATGTCAATATGTCCGTACTATAAGGCACAGCACTGCTACGTTGAGTCCGACTCAGGGTATAGCATCGTTGGTGAAACAGGTAGGGGGGAGGGAGGGGGAAGTCGCATTTTTCCGCTGGGGAAGAGGAGGGTCGTATTCGGTGGTTGGGAGAGGAGGGGGTCGTATATGCCCCTTTGGGAGAAATTTGAAAAACTTCCCGGTTGTTGCGGTTGGTTTTCGCCTGATTTTTTTTTCTCTTCCATGTGTACTATACCCCCCTCCCCATTCGACGGAAACTCTTTGGGTGAAAAACTGGAAAATGTGGGAAAGTGGTAGGTAGCTGTTGGGGAAGGGGTGGGGGTCATACCAATACCCTGTTCTGAGGGGGAGGGTGGGTGGTACCAGGATTTTCCGGAGGGGGGTCTTACTGACGCCACCATTTCACATACCATGATTCTGTACACTGGTCCGACTGGGATCTGTGATGAATGCTGCTTACGTTGTCCCACTTGCAAAGCCTATTTCACCGCACCCGAAGGACTCGAGTGTAACAATCTGGTGTTTCGCCCCACACTGAGGAATTGGAAATGACGGCTCGTGCACTTTTCATACGCATTTTTTTTCTCCTTGAAAGCAAGAAAAACATGAAAGCATTTGTATTTTTGTCAACATCGAATCCTTATCAAAAATCGACAAACAGAACATTACTGC